TGATGCAGGTGGTGGTGGTGGTGGTGATGCAGGTGGTGGTGGTGGTGGTGATGCAGGTGGTGGTGGTGGTGGTGATGCAGGTGGTGGTGGTGGTGCTGGTGGTGGTGGTGATGCAGGTGGTGGTGGTGGTGATGCAGGTGGTGGTGGTGGTGGTGGCGTGTTAGTGGTGGCGTGTTAGTGGTGGTGGTGACGGTTGTGGTGGCAGTGGTTGTGGTGGAGGTGGTGTTGGAGGTTGTGGTGAGGGTGGAGGTAGTACAGGTAGTGTTGATAGTGGTGGTGGAGGTGGTGTTGGTGGTGGTGGTCATGGGAGTTATGGTAGTGATGGTGGAGGTGGTGGTGGTTGTGGAGGTGGTGGTGATTGTGGAAGTGACGGTGATGGTGATGATTGTGGTGACGGTGGTGACGGTGGTGGTGGTGATGTGGGATTTATTTGACTCCCTCAATAAATAATTATTAACATTTAAAAAAACTTAAACAAAAAACAATAGAATGATAATGGTATATTTTTAGCTGCTAACAGATGGAGTGGTAACTGTAATATCTAAAAATTTGCGAAGTATCCAAAATTTGCTTACTGTAAGTAATGCATGCACATGACTGTAAAGCTGCTGCCCAATTGGGTGGGATTGGGTGGGTGTGCAGCAAAACTAGTAACTGTGTGACTCCTCATAGATGTAAAGTGGCTAGTATAGTGACTCATTTGAGCCTCTTGCTGAATCACTTGTGACACAAAAAATTATTGATGTGTGTATTTGTGTGGGGGATTAATTATGTATGTGTATGTATATATGTATACGTATATATATATGTACATGTATGTATGAGTATATGTACATGTATATATAACATTAATAATTTTGTAATTAGCGTCAAAAGATTGTCATTTTCTTAGCTAAACGAACTACAGGGTTCAGTTCCTGAACCGATTATGTGCCTCTGTAATCCTTTACACCACTGCCCACGGAATGGGTATTGGGTGCATAATAAAGAAAGAAATTGAATTGAATTGTTACAGCAGCGTCTAACCACTAGCCGTCTCCACCGGATATGTTACCCACGTGTTTTAAGCATCGTTTTATAGAATCGTTAAGCAACCTTGTCTCGCTAAACAGTTATTTATTAATAAATATATTTATTTTAGACTGTTACCATGATATGCTTATAGCTATTCGATTTAATCACATTTCCTGGCAGGGATCCCATTATAGGTGCCTACCTAGGGGTGGTGTATCTCAAAATGTTTAAATTTTGTTGACCAAACACTCTCTGTTTTGGGAGAGTTTGGCTCGGTACTAAAAATAGCCATGCCTAGGCCATATATTATAACTTGTACACCATGTACTATAACTCAGACATGTAATATTTTAATTTTGGTGGAAATTTTTCACATCATTGGGTGCAGGAAATGAAGGCTTCAAGTCCATTATTTAGGACTGAAACGAGACAAACATTTGCCACATTTACTCCCCATCGTTTTGAAAGTACAAACGCAATTTATTTTGCATCTTTGTGAGGCTGTCATTTGCAGATGGACATACTGGGGTATGTCCCAGTATGGGCCACTGGAAGTCCCAGTGGATGCGTACTGTGGTCTGTTGATCAATATGTGGCCAGGATTTGTCCAGTCTATGGACTAGTACTAGTTTATCTAGTGTTTTCTAGGACATAATTCCTTTAGATTGAACTTAACTTATTCAAAATATCCGGGCTGTTTGAGTGGACAGAGGTCACTTCTCCTAATGGCCAAGTAAGTAAGTAATTATCAAAAGAAGACACCAAACTGGGAAAGCTATGTAGCACCATCAAATGCGCGGAATAATCAGAGGGCGCTAAATATATCACCAAGGATGCCAATACGAGGACAGAAACGCATAAGGCTAACAATATCAGAAGTATCCGATTCACCAAGAATTCTATCGAGGAACAAGTGACCGTGAAGGACAGTAGTAAACAGGACACACGCTCGTCCTGGAAGTCAGGACATTCAACATGGATATGCACGACTGTAAGAGGGACAATGCAATTTGGACAATAAGGAGCAGGGCGGCGCTCCATCAAGTGACCGTGAGTTAAGCGAGTATGGCCAATACGCAACCTTGCGTTTGCCACTGCTGGTTACGGTGGCAGGAGGAAGGTCACAGGGACACTACGCTTAAGAGTATGCAGTTTGTTACCAACCACATAAGACCAACAACCTTGCCAACGGGCAAGGATGGAGGAACGAATAACCGGGTAAAAGTTGGAATAAGGAATACCTTTATGGGAGATGGTACAAGAGCGGATAGCTTCTCTAACGGCAGCGTCCGCACGCTCAATTAAAGAGACGCCAATATGGCTGGGAACCAAGCAAAACTCTACAGATTTAAATTTACTAGGGATAAGAAACAGCCAATGTTCAATCTCGACAACCACCGGATGGACAGGATTAAAGGACCCGAGAGCCATGAGGGCACTACGAGAGTCAACTACCACCACAAAAGAGGATTGACAATGAGAAAGCAGGAGTCCTAACGGCCAATCTGACCTTGGTCCATCATTGTCCACCAGGACAATATTTCCAGGTCGTATGTTAACTGTGTTATATGGGAAATTTGCCCCTTAATAGTGCTCTCTTAGAGAGGTTAGGTACTCATTAGCCCATACCTCATTCCATCTATTTATTATGTCAGACAGATGCTTGTACCCTTGTATCAACTTATATCGCCCATTTATGAGTTATTTTTGACATCTTCATGTGGTAAGGATGGCATTAGAGTCAGTGGTCTACCATACATTAAGTGTGCTGGACGTATTGATAATTGATGAGTAGAGTTATCCGGCATGTAAGTCAACGGCCGACTATTTTTTCTCAACTCGATTTCTGTGACTACTGTTTGGAGCTCCACAAGGCCTATCTTTTGGTGATGTAGGGTTTTTTCAAACTTCTCTTCACTGTACCTATCATACTTTCGTAAAAACTTCAGTGCATTGGAGCTTTAGGTGGGATGAACTTCCATTGCCCTGTCTTTATTCCAATGCATTACTGACTACAGGATGTGAAAAGATTTCCGGTAAACATGCCTCT